CTGTTTGTCTACGTTTTTTATACGTTTTTTAAACGTATTATATCTGTATACTTTCCTTATACATATTATTTATAGGGATGTATAGCATTATTGAAGTTATAAATACAACTTACCCTTACATATGAATACAAGACAGATTATTAATTCTGACACTTTTTTTTTTCTTAATAATTTTAGTAGTTATTGGGCTTAATTCTTTTAAATCTAAAGAAGGAAATCAATTATAATAGATAGACCTAGATGTATAGGTTTATTTTTACATTTCTATTATTAGGAGATAGTCTAGATTTATAGATAATTTTTATTTGTTTTGTTTATATAAATTTAACTAATTAAAGCTTATTTATATATTCAACATTAATATAAAAATATAAAATAAAATTTTTAACTTTGATTAAAAAGTCCCAGAACCCCATTTTTGAATTTTTCAGCAGGTAATGAATTTTATAAATATTAATAATACAAATATATATATATATATTTACAAATTTTTATAGAAAGTTATTTATCCATTTCGAATAAAATAAAAAAGAAATAACTATTATTTGATTTTATGAATACATGTATATGGTTGTTATAGATCGCTAGTGAATCCTTCAAAGGATCATTTTTTTCTTATTTTATGTTTAAAAAATCTTTTTATGATTTTTTTTTTTAATTTTTTTTTTTTCCTTTAATAAATAAAAGAAATAAAATTCATATTTATAATCGTACGAGAATTTTTTTGATATAAAAAATCTTGAAATTATATAATTATATATAAATGAAAAAAAGATGGAATAGACTATTGAAATAACTAAAGGAAACGGGAAAAAAAGGAAAAAAAAAAAAACCTAATTTTAAATTATGATGTAAGGAGATGAATAAATTGAAATTATATAAAAAATAAGGAGTGAAGTATAAATATAATTTAAATTTAACTATTTAATAAATAAGATAACAAAGTAAATATTAATCAGAGTAATAAATAATGTAAATATGATGTGAAAGTCAATGAGTATTTGTGAAAAAAAAAAAAAATTTGACCACGAAAGTTAGATGGTAAATGAATGTGCAAAGATTTTTTAAATTCTTTTAACCTTGCTTTTTCGGGGTAAATAATGGTAATATGATTTTTTTAGTTAATAATATATATGTAAATAAATGATAGCATAAGTTCGGAGAGAAGCCACACTAAAAAATAACTTATAACCCCAAAAATATTTCATATATGAAAATATAATATTTTTCCTTGTTTCTTGCTACCCATTGACTTCAGTTGAAGATCTGGAAGAACCCGATAACCCATTAACTAATTTACGCAAACCTCTACGTCCACTAATACTATTACTACCGCCAAATGCAAAACCATATGAAATTGGAGAAGACGATTCTATGCTACTATCAGGCTCAGCAGTAAAAGTAACCGATTTTTTCTTATTATTTTTGATGTTATTTAAATCTAACTCGTTTAAATTATTAATTTCTTGATTATTAAGATTAATATTTCCTTTGTTGCTCTCATCTTTATTTATCAATTTGTATTTTCCTTTAAGTATCGTGGAATTTGTGAGGCCTTTGATAAATGAGCCTAACCTCTCAAAGTCGGGTAAAATATTGACAAAAGGATGATCAATTTCTTCATCTCCTGTAGTCGGACTATAATCTTCATGACTTATTTCGTAATCATCGGATCGTAGAATGCTTACGTGAAAAGGTGAATAGTCTTCCATCTTTGATTCTTTATCCCTTATTATGCTCCATGTTGAGTGCTGGCGACTGAACGAGTTAGAGGGTCGTCGATTGTAGCTTGATCTTTGGAATTGGTGGGCGGCCTATAAGTCAGTATTTTTTATTATTGCGTTTTTTATCACATGACATTCCTTATTTTTTTTGTCTACTGAACCTTTAATCTTACGACTTATTTATATACAAAAATCATTATATCATCCCATACATTCATTAGAATTAAAATACTCACAAGTCATCAAAATCCGTTTCATAATCATCCTCATTTACTTCACTCGCTACGAATCTTTCATGTGGATTACGAGGTTTATTTAATGATGATGAATTTTGTTCCTCCTCATAAATTGGACTTTCAGTGGTGGATAATTCAACCGAAGACCCATCTAAATTCACAGAATATGCGGTTCTAGACGAATCGGTTACTTCATCGTCGTCGTCCTCATCATTAACGGTAAAGATATGATCCGGTGTTATCAAGCCTTTAGCATACGCTGCTTCCGTAGCTGCTTGACGTTTTCTTTGAATTTCTTCCTCCTCTAAACGCCTAGCCTCCTCTTCTTCCGCAGCTAATTGTGCATCGGTTGCTTGATCATATTTTGTCTATATAAATGAAAAAGAAATTTAGTCATGTATTAGTACCGTATGAAAATTACCTATCGAAAACCTATTTTAACGAGATACAAAATTATCGTAACTCGGCAGAAGCCATTAACATAATTTTTTTTTAAACTGATGATTGAATTCATGTTAAGTTCCAAAGAGTATTTATTATATATAAATAGTTTACCACAAAACATGTCGAAACTCATCTATAACCGATATATAATATATATGATATACACTATATTATTAATACCACAATATATAATTTTTTTAAAATTTTTTTTTTAAAAAAAAGATAAATAATAAATAAATAAAATAATAATCAAACTTTTTTTTTTTTTTTGTTTAAGAGCTCGTTCTTATTCGAAAGAAATTTTTTTATTAAAAAAAAGGGGTGTTACCTGTTCACTAACGATTAATTCTGTAAATTTATTAATCTGCTCATCAGGCAAAAACTGCGCATCCTGAGTTTGTAAGTTATCTTCATCGTCCAATAAATTATCTAGACGTCCTGTCGAGACTAAGGATTCTTCATTAGGTGTTACCATGTTATCAATTCTTAGATATTCTGAACCACCAGGCCTCTGAAATGGAGTACGTGAAAGAAACGCTGCTATAGATTCAGGATTTTGTTCCGCCAGCAAACTTTCAAACTCTCTGTTATCATCGTCGTCATAAGAATAATGGTCAAGTGGTTGTGAATTTCGAAATGGAAGACAAGGACAATTTTTATTTAAACAAGCCCACATTTTTCACTTGATTTTTTTTTTCTGCTAAATAATACAGTAATCAAGTTTGGAATATAATTAAGAGTAAAAAAAAAAAATTACTCGTTATATTTGTAAATAAAGAATTTAAAGAAAGAAAAGTGAGAAGATATTCCCTGAAAATGAAAGAAATTTGAAATTAAAAATTTCATTGAATTATCAATATATACTTTTTTTTAAACATGTGAGGTTGCATTAATCTCATAGATGAAAGTGATGATGATGTGACTGATGTAAGTAATTCGTGTCACTCATTCTCTTTTTCCGTATTTAGATAGTAAAGTATTTATCCCTGATTTTGCAACTAAAAAAACCAACTGAATTGAAATCGGGGAAGTACTTTTTTTAAAGTATGACTAATTTGTCATTATTTATATTTATATATTACTTTTTTCGTAAAAATTTTTCACATATACCCCCAAATTTCCTTTTTTCCTTTTTTTTTTTTTTTTTTTTTTTAAAAAAAAATTTTTAAAGTATTATTAAGCAAAATCTTTTTCACTTTGTTTACTTTTTATTTTTTGCCCATAAATTTTCACTTTTTTTTATACATTAACCTAAAGAAATGGCTCGTACTAAGGTATAAATATTTTTTATAAATTGTTCCTTCCGCTTCATAAATCCTTCTCAAAAGGAGCTCATCACAAATTTGATTTATAGCAAACTGCCCGTAAAAGTACCGGAGGAAAAGCCCCCAGAAAACAACTTGCCACCAAAGCTGCCCGTAAATCAGCCCCTGCTACTGGTGGTGTTAAGAAACCTCACCGTTATAGACCCGGTACTGTAGCTTTACGTGAAATCCGACGTTATCAAAAGTCTACTGAACTTTTGATCCGCAAGTTACCTTTTCAGCGACTTGTTCGTGAAATCGCTCAAGATTTTAAAACAGATTTACGTTTTCAATCTAGCGCTATTGGAGCTCTTCAAGAAGTATGATATTTTTATTAATCAATATTTACAAATTTACGTCATGATAATTTTGAATAAATTCACAAATTGTTTATTCCCTAATAGGCTGCCGAAGCATACTTAGTGAGGTAATTAAAACTTTTCAAGATCAAAGATGATGATTCTTTCTGTATTTTGATTAAGATTATTAACTTTTTTTTTTATTATTTTAAGTCTTTTTGAAGATACAAATCTTGCCGCCATACATGGTAAGTAAATAATTATTTGTTATTTATTAGATTCTTACAAATTGATTAATATTTTATCATTTTTTTTACAGCTAAGCGCGTTACTATACAACCAAAGGATATTCAATTAGCCCGTCGTCTTCGCGGAGAACGCTCTTAAATGTTATATAAATTCTAATTGATCAAATTATGATCTTTTTTTTTTGATGCGATATCTTGTCTTTATTTTCTTAAAGTAGTCCCAATTATTAAGATTAGTAATTTTTGATTATCTAAACCCCCTTTAAAACATAGACTGTTTCTTTGGGAATTTATATTCATTATTATCATATTGTCATTTTGCTTATCGTGAAAATAAACGTGTAAAGAAGTTTCATATTTTATAAAATTTGTTTTTTGCTCAAATCAATAACCCATGTTAAAGTAATTATCACATTTATAGAGTTAGGTAGGATTTGTGGGGTAAAAATACATGAAATTAATATGATGTGATTTATATGCCCAAAAGCTGTCAAAAAGGGTAAATCATAGGCTTTTTTTTGTCGCTCATTTTTGAATAAAAATAACTTTATTTCCTCAATAAGTTATAAATAACATTAAAATCCTGTCGGTCATCAAATGTGCCTGCCCTTATTATCATTTTTATAAAAATTTTGATGTGCATTATTGGAATTTTGCATCAATGAACTTTCGCCAATTTCATGCATGTTAGGGAAAAAAATCTTTTTGTTTAAAACTAGAAAAAAAGAAAATTCGAACAAAGGGTCAAAAAAACCCGAACTAAAATGAAATGATCATCAACCCCAATAACTTTTTCTCAAGAAAATGAACGAATTACGATTTACCATTGCCAAAACATGAATCACATCATCCAATAATCAAAAGTCTCTCGAAATCTGGGGAGCAATCTATTACGAAAAAAAAAAAACGATAGATATGATATTGCATTAGTACCAAAATAAAAAAATAAATATTTGGATTAAATGAATCAAAAAATATGTCTTTGTGTACTGTTAGTAACGAATGATTGACGGCAGCTATCTGCATAAAAAAAGTGGCTGCCAATGGTGAAACGAAAGTCAGAACGTGGAATTTGTTACAAGCGCGTCAAACCTTACTTGGTTCACTTATTTTGGTGACAAGTTATAATATCAAACAATCACCTTTTCTAAATGGTTAACTTCTAATCTTATCAAAGATCCTCCAACTTCATCCTGGGCTTCATTGGTTGCACGGATAACAGCCTCTATGACAAACAAATAAACAATTTATTTTCATACATAACAAATTGTAGTAGGAAAAAAAGATGATGTCTTACGGACTGTAAATATACGTAAATATTCAACTGAAAGTGCCAATGCTTCTTTTCTTACTAAATTACAAACAAAATTATTTCATGTTATCAAGATAAATAAACGAACAATTTAACAATATATTCTTTTATCAACTTTTTGTCTTTGGGTTCTTCCAAGCAGTTTTGAAAATATCGTGTAATGATTTCTAACATTATTTATTATATTTTATTAAAATATGTTAACGAAAAAAAAATGAATCGGTATATCTGATAGTCAAAATAAACTTTACCTTATCAAAGGAAAGAGAATCTACTAATTCTTCTTGTGAGGACATCATTAAATAAGTACCGAAAAATCAAAGTGAATTAAGAAACGAGCGAAGAGTATGACGCGCCAAAAAATATATATTTATAATATTATAATATTACACGTTGAAAATCACGTGACAATTCCGCGAAAATAAATTTATTACTCATCAAAAATACTTATAATGAGCGCGCAAAGAAGTGTATTTTTTTTTTAAATTAAGAAACTTGTTCATGTTTATTAATGAAATATACGTTCAGAAAGAACCAATTTGACAAGTTTAATATTTCTAATATTCTAATAAAATTACTACAAAAAAAAATTTCTCGAGGTATTATTATTCTTATATACTGTAATTCCGAATTAAAAAAATTACCATCTTTTCTATTTGGTTCAAATAAAGATAACTATTAAAATTTAAACCGATAACAAAATAAAATCCAACCAAATCTTTAACTAAAAACATTAAAAAAATTCGAACCCTTTATTTGTTTATTATGCTTTTAGAAATCCATATCCACACCAACGCCACCGGTATTTCCGACCGACGTATTGGCAGTTTCGCGGGTAGGTTGTTGAATACCTTGCATGATTTGCGGTTCTTGTTCTATCATTGATTTTTGTTCTCGAGGTATTACTAAAGCTCTTGCACGACCCAAATCTTCCTGTTAATAAATTACACAAAAAAAATTTAAATCTAGAAAACAAGATCATAAATATTTAATTAAAGGTGTACCATGAATTTTGTTCTTAGGTAACCAACTTCCGTAATTAAATCATTTAAAGCTTTCGCTACCATGGCTTCAGGTTTTGTTTCATTAGTAGTTTGAACTCTTATGATCACATTATGTTCTAATGGATGTGGAACTTTATATCCAGCAAAAATAACCTGTGGTTCTTGTAACAATTTGCTACCCATAACGAATGAAAAGGAAATTTGATAAATTAGATCTAAATCAATTGAAATCTGTATTATTTAAAAATTCTTATTTAAGCTTACTGTCTAATTACATTTCCCATAGTATGATCTTCTCGAAGTATCTCAAAAGTTGCCGCATTTTGAACTTTAGTGTCTGGTGTAATCTTCATTCTGTAAATATCATATATGTTAATATTTGAACAGAATTCATAATGCCTCTATAAACTTCAAGATTGTATAATAATACTCGTCACCCTTTTAGGGAAATTCACGTTATATGAAAACCAAACTATAAATTACTTGTAAAAGAATTATAAAGGTATTTTTGCAAATTCTCACCCGAGTAGATCGACTTACTTTTGTGAGCCTGGTGGCAAGTAAAAGACATCAAACCGATCTGGTGCATTCATTTTGACGGATTTCGTTGGAGAGAAAAAAAATGTTTAAGAAAAAAGTATGATAAATTTGTAGAAGTTCTATATATAATCAAAAGCAGTTATCACGTGATTTTTACAATGTCACATTAACTTTTATCATGTATTTTCATCAATTACAGTAATTAGTAAATAAAATCTTATATAAAAGTTATTTAATATAATAATATATATTATAATTTCTAATAATAAAGTTATAATTTATATTAAAAATTATGTAAAAGTAATAAAAAAAAAAATAAAAAAAATATTAAATCTTATTCTTTAATCTAGCAGGTAATTTTCTTAGAAATTTAAAAAAAATGTATATTAATTTCTTAATAAATATTAAATATTAATAGTAATTATCATTATTATATTATATATTAAAATATTCAACTTTAAAATTATATTTTAAAAAATTTTATTATAATAATTTTTTTAAAATTTTATATATTTATATACAAATTACAACCAATTTCATAATTTCTAAACTACTAATTAGGGTTATTAAACAGTCCTAAATGGTTCTAAAGTCCCAATAAATTTGCCAGTTCTAGAAAAGATTTTTATTTTACTGGCATTATATTTTACTTTCTAATGATAATTTGTTAATTAAATATAAATTAAAAATATATATTAAACTTATGTAAGAACCCAGAATTTTAATTTTTGAAACTTAGTATCCAGTCCTAAGAACTGGATCCCATCTTGATGATCTCATGTTAATTATCAATTATAAAGTTCATATTTCTTTTATAAGTTATTCATAAAATTTATTATTACAATTATTTTATCAAGGGTTACTTATTATAGATATTATAGATAAGTGATTAGACTTTTCTATAACTTGTAATTTCAATATTTATTTACAGTAATTTAGGACTGTTTAACATTTTTACTACTAATTAAATATGATTAAATGTGACTAAAATTTATTAGTTAGTTAAAATTTATAAAATTAGCTTTAAAATCAAATTATTTTTAATAAAAGTAAAAATTTTCAAATTAATAATAATATTTTTTTTATCCCTTAAATCGTAGGGTTTTACAAGCAAATTTGCCTGCTTATTTACTATAAATTCTCTTTGATTTACTTTTATAAATAATTAATATTTTTAAAAAAAATTTTTAAATTAATTTTATAAATATAAGTCGTTAGAGATTCTTTAATATATTATATTAAAGAACCTTTAACGACTTAGATTAAATTAATAGTGATGATATAATCTAAGAATGTAGTATAATCTAATAGTAGTGATATAATCTAATGGTAATAGTATAATCTAATAATGGTAGTATGATTTAATGGAGATGATATAATCTAATGTCATAATTCAGTAGTGGCATCATAACCTGATGTCATAATCTGATAGTACGTTATAATCTACAAGTGGCTTTATAACCTAAAATTTAGTTATCTTTATGATTTTTTGACTACTATTTTAATTAATTCTCACTATATAGTATTATGGTAAATTGGTAGTATCATAATCTATTGGTATGGTTATTGTATAATTTAATAGTAGTGCTATAATATAATGTAATATGAATGAATAAGACTTACGTAGTACAGATGATCGACAAATCTGACAAATCTAACAAATCTGATATATCTAACATTTTTGACATGTTTGACATATATAGGGTTGATAAAAATCCTAATAAGTCCTAATTGGTCTTAAAGAATTTAAAGATAATTTTAATTTATATACTATTAATTAAATTTT